GTATGAAAGCAAATAAATGTTTCAGAAATTGTAAAATATTAGCAAAATACTCAATTTAAAAGAGAACTTAAATCCTTGTTTTTTCATTTATATAATCTTGCTCAAGACAAAAAAATCATTTATAAAGCGGTTATACTTGTTCATTGAGGCATATTTTATTCGAACTTGAATGGAAATTAAAATAATAATATATGTTTATAGAATAGATTTTGAATGAAAAATTTTGCTTAAATAAATAAATAATCTAAAACATAAAAAATAAAATTTAAAAAAAAAAGACATTTGATGTAAGGGCAAACTCTATTGATAATATAAATAATTTATAATTTAAAAAATAATACAAACAAAATATTTTGTTTATTCAATTTGCTAAGATGCTCAATGCAAAGTTGTTTCTGGCAAAATTTCTTTGTACGCAAAATGATGCAAAATGCAGATGCCACGCACAACGCTGCCACAAAATCCCACTTTATGCAGCACACTCGGAAAAGCTCAGGGCTATAAAGTGTGTGTGTGTGAGAGATTTTAAGTGTGTATGTGTGTGTGTGTGTGAGTGTACTTTTGCAGCAGTCAAAAGAATCTGGCGCTGGGGGTCAACCCAGCTGGCTGTTGCTGCTGGCGTCGGTGTATGAGCGGCTGACCATTTATGAATATTTACGAGTGTGCAGCATGCAGAGGCGCCTCGGGCCGTGCGGAGCAAAGTTCTAATGGCATTAAGAGAACGTGCCCAAGTCGAGCCGGGGGCAGAGGCACAGTGTGACAAATGTAGACGAAACTAAGCATCCAATTTCATCTCTACACTTTGAAGTCAAGGCAACTCATCCATATTATATTTATACAACAACAAAAAATAAGTAAAAATATGGAAACACTGAAAATGGAAAAATGTCCGTGCGTGGGCATCTTGAATCCCGTGCCCATCTATCAGAAGCTGATGATAGATAATCTAACCGTTATACGCCCACCAATACTCAAGCTCTACTATTGGGAGAGCTTCGATATAACAGGGCAAGTAATTGTCTCTCTCAATTGAAAGATCCTCTCTAGAGTCCCGTCCTCCCCCTCGCACAGTCTGAACAAGAAACTTCGCTCGAACAGGCGTGAGTTCGAGCATGTTCTGGCCATTCCCTTGCGCCAGATTCAGAGCCAGCCCCTGAAGATCATCTTCTGGCTGCGCAATATGTCCGCCAAGCCGCTGGAGCTGAAACTGAAGCGCGTCCAGAACTGCCAGTGCCAGCCGTTGCAGACTCGCGTCGGCTTCAACCAGTTCCGTCAGCTCTTCCACTGCCCCCATCGCCGGCTCATCCACGTCAGCCAGGAGCTGCTCAACTTGCTGCCGGACGAGGTGCTGCCCATCTCGGTGACCGCTCACTTCTTTCTCTACGGCGAACACTATCTCACCTACGAGATCTAGTGAGTAATACTCCAAGCATTTCAGCTTCAGTCTTAACTCCAAGCGGCTCTATTAGCACCAACGACGATCGCAAGTTCATTTGGACCTTTAAGCTGGAGGTCACAGCCTTCGATCCGGAACGCTGTCTGCTTACCAAGGAGCTGCTGCCCGTAAATATTCGAAACTTTCGCCATGTCACACAGCCGATTTGGGTGCAGAACATCACGATGACCCATCTATCGTTCAATTTCTCCGCACGCGAACGCAGCTTCAAGTTGCACAACTCGAATCTGACTGTGCCCCGGCAGAGCGTCTGGCCCCTGCTCGTTGAGTACAGGCCCCTGGACTATGAGAATGAGGTGAGCTCTTGAGCATGACAAAGGATTGAGTTGGGGGAATGTGAGCATATGTCTTTAGGGAATTACAGTTCAGTAAATCTTTTTAGTAGACCTATTAAATTACACTTATGAGTTGTATAAGGAAAAGAACTAACTCATTAACTCATTAAGCTCTTGGCAATTGACAATATCGTAATTAGAAAGACTTGTCAATGATTGAGGTACATTAAGGCGATGAGGGAATGCAGGAACTGAACTGAGTATGAGGTAACACCTTACATAAGAATTGTCAATGATTGCAGTAGGAAAACAACTCCGAAGGGAATTTCGTATCCCAACTCAACACACAGCTCCTGAAGCAAAAGGACCAATAATTATCAATAACTTAGCTAGAAAACAGGAATATAGGTCCGTAGGAAAATTCAGAATAAGAAAAATAAGAATCAACATATTTTCAAGCTCAACAGTGTATCAAAATAGGAGTGTATGTATGTATGTTGGAATCTCTGAAAGAGAAACGTTCTTCAAGCGCAATATCAACAAGATAACAAGATAAGGAATGCCAGAATATTTACTCCATTTTCAAATTCCTTTACCCAGGCTTAACAATGGGAAAGGGAGATACTTCAATAGGCAGCCCTAATTTTAATCCAATCTCACTTAATCAGTTATTGCATATACCATATCCCATATTCATACAAACTCCACTGTTAACTCATTTTCTTGTACCAGGTGGAAGTAATGCTATCATATGAGAGCGTCAAGGCGCGCTATAAGATCAAGGCACGTGGCGCGCTCACAGACGAGCATGAGGTCACAGATATGCCGCTTAAGGACCGAGAATCCGCCGAATATCTCTACGTTATCTATCCGAATCGCCTGAGCTTCGAGCTCTGCATCAAGGAGAGTCGCACACAGCTCGTCAATTTGCACAACTATGGACAGAAGTGCATGGAATTTCGTTGGCAAAAGTGAGGCGTTTCCTGCTAATTTCCTGGCATTTTCAATTGATTTCGACTCCTCCTATAGCTACATCATCAGTGACTTCTTTGCTGTCACTTTCGAGCCGTCCATCTTTCGCCTGAAGGGCCATCACTCGAAGCTCTGCGAGATCAAGGTTTCCGTCTTTGAGCGTCTGCTCTTCTTCCGTCGCATTCCCATTGTGCTGGAGGTGCATCGTGTGCTGGATACGGCCACCCAAATAGCCAAAGCCGAGCTGACCGAGGTCGAGTCCATTGACGATCCCAAGTGGAAGGAGGATAGCTATGTGGAGCATGTCTTTCTGCATCTGAACATTCGTGTCCATTTGTCCAGTCGTGAGGAACGAGATGACGATAGTATCGTTGAGGTCGATGGCGCCTGCTCGCCCTGCGGCGGCGTCGGCCTGGACCCAGCCGCTGCCGGCGATGCTCCGCCCGTGGAGAAGCTAACCGAGGCGGAGAGGAAGCTCAAGGAACGCGAGGAACTGGTCAAGCGTCTCTCCATGAAACGTAAACTGACTGCCAACGAGGTGATCGAGCTGAGCATGGCCATCGATCATCGGGTGACCATATTCGAGAAGCTCTTCTGGAAGTTCCTATCCAAGTCGAATTTCATGCGCATTCCCGCGGAACGGACTCGCAACAAGTTTAGCAAGACCTACGATGAAGTCGTCATGACGGATCTCATGCAGACCCCGTTCAATGTCAGTTCGCAGGTGGATCACAAGTGAGTGGTTCATAGCTGGAACTAGTTCCGATTATTAAAAGGGCACTCTCTCTCTCTCTCTCTCTCTCCCTCAGTACCATCTTGTCCATACTCAGTCGCCTGATGGTGGAGGCTCTTAACGATTTGGCCAAGAACTGGATATTTATACCATCCGAGTTCTACGAGCGTGATCCTTAAACTTGCATGTAATTTAACTGTTCAACTGTGCCAGCCACATTACATAACCTCAAAGCGCATTGCTCGTTGCACACTTTGCGGCAGCTATTCAAGCTGTCCACATGCCGCATGACACCGAAGTTTATGTAAGATTTCGCCCAGGCAAACGCCACAGCTCCACAGCCCCACAGCCCCCCACTCCCACAGCTAGCAATTTATGTCGTCGCCTAAAAGCTTCCCCACATTTAAAGCCAATGCAACGTGGCGCAATGGGAAGCACAGCATATGCAGTCAGTAGCAAAAGATTTTCAGCTAACTCCACCAATTTGACAGCCATTTTATTTGTGCACGCTGGCAGAAATAGTCGAAAGGGATGCTACATTTCCTTAAAGACCCTTAAAGCAGAGCCTGCCTCCACTCACCCATGACTCGCTTCACATAATCAAATTCCACTTAGCTTCATTCATTAATTTACCTCACGAGGCAAACGAGAAAACTCTCAAATGCTTAATTATTTAGATATTTGATGTTGCATAACTGAAACTTTCCCAGAACTCGGCTCATATTTGTAGTAAATTACTTGCGTGCAAGAAATTTGCAATTGGGATGAACTTTCGGGGCATTTATTTGTGCCACAAGTAAAAGTTTCGATTTATGTCTTAATTTTCTTAAATTAATGCAGATAAATTCAAAGGACCTGACATACTCCCAGCGCATGGACAACTTTTAATATGATTTATGATTTAATGAGCGTATACTTATAGTAGTTCAATGCTTCTATGGCTAACCTGTGCTATACACAACTATGACGTACTTTTTCTTAGGTTAAGCCACATTTTTCTTAAGATCTCTGGAAATCAAATGAAACGGATGCAAAGAAAAAAATTTTAAAAAATAAAATAAATAAATAAATAAAAGATTGGCGTACAAAAGATGTGAGATATAATTTTATAACTGATTTTTTAATGGAGATTTCATCGCGAAAAAAAGTGTTATTATCGATTTTTGGAAACATAGTCGAAACATGCATTTTATAAACGGACCTATTGTACATCCATTTCAAGTCACTAGCTTTTGTACTTTCAGAGATCGAAGCGTTCAAACATCCGGACAGACAGACATGGCTATACCGACTCAGCTTATCAAGAATATATATATGTACCCTATGGGGATCTGCCACGCCTACTTCTGCCTATTACATAAATTTTAACAAAACCAATATTTTTCAAATTCCATTTAAAAACAAGTAAGAACGTTGCAGTCGGGCGTTACCGACTGTGGAATACTCATTCACATCCCATCAACATTAGTAGTTAAATTTCGTTCTAATACTGTAGAATATACAGGTTTTTCCGATTTGTCACGCCCCAACTGGGCGTAGACACCTCATTTTTGGTCAGTTTTTAGAAAGAGATAACGTTACCCTAACTGCAAAGTTTGAATGCTTACCCTAAAAAAATGTGAAAATTACAGGGTATTTTTCGATATGCCACGCCCCTAAAGAGGCGTAAAAATTATTTTTGGGGAATCGATAGAGGAGGCTACCAGTAACTCAACTATCCAAATTTGAAGCTTCTAGCTATTATACTTNTCCGATTTGCCACGCCCCTAGTGGGCGGATCGGGAAAATTTTAACACTTTATAAATCGGAGATATACACGAGTATGTGTTCCAAATTTCAAGTCTCTAGCTTCAATAGCGCCGAAATAGATTGCGTTCATACGGACAGACGGACAGACGGACAGACGGACGGACGGACAGACGGACAGACGGACGGACAGCAAGACGGACATTGCACAAAACCAATATACTGATTCACTTTCGTGAATGAGTATAAAAAAAAAATCTATACACATTTGGAGTATTTGTTTAGACAAAGAGACAGATACCATCTAGGCCCCTCATTATTTTTCTATTAGCTAAAAAAATTCATTGATTGATTTTGCATATTTTCTTATATATAAGCAAATAAGATCACTTATCATAGAATAGCCGCCACCAATGATATATGGAAGCAGAACGACTTACCCGAGTTGTTCCTTGAACTAGTAGTTCCTCAAAAATGTAATAATAGCAGTGGTTCCTTAGGCATTTAAAAATGGTTCAAATTTTGTTTTTAAACACATCATTTCATAGCTTTATTGAATAAATTGTTGTTGTTGTTGTTTYCTTCATTGTGTGTTTCGTGTGAGTGTTTGTTGTTGTAAATTCTCAGAGTAATCCATAATGAAGTTTAATTGATTCTTAATAAATCTTGCACAGAGTATACCATAAATATGCTATATAAATTTTTTTTTTTTTTTTTTTTTTTAATATTATAAAAATTTGAAGAAAATTGTTCAAGGAGTGTGTGTTGAGTGAGACGAGGGTGTGTGTGTGTGTGTCTGTGTGTTGTTGGGCGTGGCAGTAAATCCAGCGCCAATATATATATTTATACATAAATATATATATGAGAGAATTCGACAATAATTCAATAGATAAATATGCAGATCGTAATTAAATTGGAATAATTGTTTGTTTGTTGTTTCTGTTGTTATCTGAGATGATTAAGTTAAATATTTGCTACTACAATACGATACGGTCCACCAATATTTTGACTATGTTTATAACGACGAGAAAAAAACGTTTGCGTAGTTTACACATATATATAATATTCATATATACGCACATACACATATATACATGCACATACACGTACACATATGTATGTATATGTGTGTATATATATATATGCTGGCATAATTAGTATGTTTGTCTTCAAATACTTTACGTAAGCTAAACCATAGACGATAATAATTTCAAATAATTGCAATTGATTAAATTATGCAAATGTTGAGCTTGAGCTAGATGGAACCAAAGGCCGCTTCACTCAATCAATCAATCAATCAATAATTCGTTGAAGTATAAATATTATGCTGTTTGCGATTTGCATTTAACAAGAGTGCTTAAAATTAGTACCTTTGACTAAGTTGTTTTTTTCTTTCGACTAAGTTTTGGTTTATACATAATTCATTTAATATATATTCATTTCTTTTTGGTTTCTTATAATTTTTTTAAATATTTAATTTTTGTTTTTTGGTTTTTGTTTTTTTGTATTTAACATTTAATGCAAACATATAGAGAGAAAGAGAACTTGTTTCGATCTTGTTTACTTTTTTGATGACATGCACTACGAAATTTTTATTGGATAGTTATATGTTTATATGTATTTTCTTTTATTAATAATTTTTTGCAAATCTTTAGACCAAAATGCTGGTGTGTAGGAAGAAGCTTTTATAAACCAAAAATATCTTTAAAGTATTGAAATAACTGTGAAAATATATAGATATATGTAAATAGAGCAGGTATGTGTGAGATGTACAACATTTCTATATACCTAGAATTTTTATTGAGCAAAATTTTGAAGAAATATTTAGAAATAGCGAAAATAAATATTCTTAAGAATACTCTCGCTTAGCTTAGGGGATTTTATTCCAAACTTTAAAGCCTTGGCTAAAAATCAAATTTTTGAAATATTTTCGAAATATTTGTTGGGGAGTTTTTCTTGTTTTTCTTTCTGTGCAAATAGTTCTTAAATCAACAACTAGTGTCAGTTCAGTTTTCGTTAAACTATGCCTAGAAGCCTATTTAATTAATTTATAGCACATCATTTAAATACCTAGAGCATTACCCACAGATGATGATGATGCTCGACTATGCTCATCAGTTTTTGCTAGTTAAAGAGTTTAAGAGCTGTGTGTTAATGTGTGCGTGTATGTGTGTGTGTGTGTGTGTGTGTGTGTGTGTGTGTGTGTGTGTGTGTGTCTGTTTTCATGTTCATGTGTATCAAGAGAGAGACATTTAAAGAGAGCGCTTTACAGGTGTCGGAATCAGTTCCAGTTCCAGTTCCGATTCCGCCTGCAGAGCATTGCACAACCTTTTTTGGGTTTCAAACGCGAATGTGCCTCGAAACGACAAACGAAAAACGAAAAACCAGACGACAACTAGATCGCCAGATCCTTGATTCTTCTATACGTAAGTGTATGTGTGTATGCACTAGATTTCCTTATATCTCTGTTTCTGGTGTAAAAGTATAAAAGTGTACCATATTCTCATTCATTCATTCCCTTCTTCATCATCCTAATTTGTTTTCTTTCTTTTGTTTGGTTTACAGTTAAAATTTGTGGTAACTTTTCGTATCTTTGTTTAAATAGATTTCATCAACATACTTCTCTCGTCTTTTCGTTTTTTTTTTTTTTTTCAAGATATGCGCTTTGTTTTCTGTTTATTTTCATCGTGTTCAATCTTTAAGTGTTAACATTATTGCGTTTCCTTTTTTCTTATTTTTGTATGTAAAAATTATAAAGTTGCTCGTTTGCTTTCCATAGTTATTAATTGTTTTGCCTTTCATTTTATTCTTAGTCTTGTTTGCATTTAACTGTTTAACTGTTTTTCATTTGTTATCAGAGATTTTGCATTACGTATTCTTTCTCTTCTTTGTTGGTTTTCATTTTTCTTTTCTTTGTATATTATTGTGCGGTGTTTTTGTTCGTTACCATTACCGTTAAGTATATATATAAT